TGTGAGTGCGTGTGTGTGAGAGTGAGTGTGTGTGTGTGAGAGTGAGTGCGTGTGTGTGTAATGGTGCTTTTACGTCATGGCAGAATTACTATAACAATAATTATAACTTGTGTGTCTGTCTCTCCGTCTTTTTATTGTAATAATGACATATATATAATTTTTTTAACATAATATACATATATATATATATATAAATGTATTTTTTTTTATATATAATATATGTAATTATTCAAATGAAAATATTTAATTACAAATGATATATATTAGAATATATATATAAAATATTTTTGAATGACATATTTTTAATTTTATAATATTTTAATACATGTGTGTGTATATCAGAGATATATTCAGCTCAGAGGTTATTCATATCGAAACGCTGATTCTGACATGATGTGAACATCCCATAACTCCGTGTGTGTGTGTGTGTGTGTGTTTTATTTCTCTGTGTTCTTGTGTTTGTATCAGAGTGTGTGTTTGTCATCTATTGAATCCTGTAGAAAATGAAGCGATCATGTTTTGTTGATATTGTCGTAATATAACTTTATTCATATGATTAGCCTTTATAATTGAATCATGTTTCACACATTAGCACTGGATATGAGACTGATTGTTTTTAAATCAGAGAAACATTGGTTCAGTTTGCACACACACACACACACACACACACACACACACGCGCGCAGAATGAATCAGTGAATCATCTGAGTTTAATGACTGAAGCTCATAGACTGTAAACACAGCAGCCTCGTTTATCTGATCATGTGATTGATTCAATTAGTGTCTCGTTTTATGTGAAATTAAATCAGGTGGCGTAAATGAGTTTGCACAGTTCTTTTCCCTCAGTTGTGTTCATTTAACGAGAATCAGAGTTTCTGAAGAGTCTGTTTTATCTGGCAAATATGAAGATATGCCTCTTGAAGTATTATTATCTGAATGTCATGTTCATAAATCAGACATATACAAACGAGTTTGATGTGACATCTGGAAAATAAAGATTCGTTTACATGTTAGAGTCAAAATTTACTGATACGACTTCTTTCTCCAGTGTAACATCATTTTAAAAGTCAATAAGCTTCATTGTCGTTTTGGACCCCATTGACTTTCATTTTATGTGTTTTCCATATTAGAAAGTCATTTTTGGCTGAACTATTCGTTTAAAATGTGTACATTTGAGAACAGGGTGTTTAGTGTCTAATTAAATGTTAATTTTGACATAAGCATATCAAATTACTGTGAGATTATAACTGATGTTTTAAGTCTTTGTACATGTTTTGCTGTATTTGTGCCTTTATTGTTACATTTGATCATTGTGTAAAAATATCATAATTTGAAACGTTTCACAGTGTTTGTGTTTGACTGTCAATCAAACTGAACTGTTTATGTAAAAATAGCAGAACACAGACATTCACATCCATCAATATTATATTATTATCATTTATTACATTAACTTGCATTAAAATATTCAGTGACAAGCTAGATTTTAGAGAAACTGAACAACTTGACTATTAGTTAACATTAAAAGGAACTAGCAGCCTGAAAATGAAAGTAAGTATCATGAAGACAAGCATTTATTTCTTTAGAAAACATCTGATGAATCATTTAAGTCCAGGAACATAAATCAATAATCTATAGTTTTGATTACGTATTGACAATTATGCAAAATTTTAAGATTTCAGAGAAAATGTATAAGCACTCATTTTTAAATTAGTTTTTATTTTTAGATTTCCCATTTTCATTGTAGTTTTAACGTGTTAGTAATTTTGTTGTCTGTCTTTGTGTGTGTGTTTTAAATGTGTATTTCATTTCTAATATTTTTTCTATCAGTTTTCGTTTTTTTTTTTTTTTAAGTTAAACTAAAGAAAATGTTGCCTTGACATCTAGCTCACATCAAGTTTTATGTATTTATTATATATTTCTATATACTTTATTTTAAGTTTTAAATATTCTAATTATAGGTTTTTTGCATTTTATTTTATTTCACTTAATGATTATTTTATTTCAAGTAATGAAATTGTGTTTTTAATGGCTTTAGTTACAGTTGCAGGGTTTCTGTGGGTCTTAAAAACTTAAAAGGTCTTAAATCGGAGCAAGAAGGCTTAAATTCATAAAGCCATGGCATTAAAAGTAAAAATAAAAATGAATATCTTCCTTAGTATTTTTGTTCTGTTTTCCAGTACAACTATCTAAATATCCTTAAATTACGTTTACTTGAGATGCAAAATCAAGATACTAAATTGTCTAAGAAACTGAACAAAATTAAAATGTAGTAATTTGCACTGAAAAACAAAGCAAAAATACCGAGGAAGAACATCACTTTTGTGCAGTTTGAGCAGAAGGTACAGTAAAAGTTATTTCCATATTCTAGTTAAGCTATATTTCAATTAATTAAACCGTAATGGAGATGAGTTGGACGTTGTATTTTCAAACTCGGTGTGCTCCCGGACATTTACATTTAGAGACCATATGGACATATTGTTTTCCCTTCAATGTATTTTTATAAATGGTCTTTAATTGTTTCTAAAAAGTCTTAAATTGACCAATCAAACCTGCAGAAATCCTGTAGTAACTATAATAACGCTTGTGTAAGGATCACCATCATGCTCTCAGGAGTTTCTCTCCGGTTCTCTGTTTTCTGTTTGTTTCTCCGCCGCTGAGCATCTTTTTGGGCGACGTTGCCGGGCAACAGAGACACCTGCATGTCCATCCCATAATCATCCCGTGTGTTTCTGCATGTGTTGCAGCACATTTATTTGTTTTGCGCTCCTGAATTCTGTGGGAAACTGAACCTGTAGATCCACTCTCTCTCGCAGGTCTGACATAGTTTCAGTCACGATGTAATGAGGATAACGTGACGCTTTCAATCATGACTAATGTGATGTGTGTGTGTTGTGAGGTAGATGCTGATAGAGTGAATTGTAACATCTGATGCTGTATTTCATGACAAAATCCAGTTACACTAAAATAATTCCACCTTCTTCAACTTAGAAACTGAAGTTCAGTTGCTGCCTTAAAAGATATTGAAAAGAATTGTCCAGCCAATTTGATTTTAACCCACAATAGTGACCGTAAAAAAGGTTTTCATTTATAATGCTCTAAAATCCTTACTGACTGATGTTTTCGTGCACTTCCTAAAACAAAGATTTTTAGTACATGTTATCTTTAAGGTGTCTAGTATTAATATATGAATTCACATATATTCAGTTTTGTTGAGTGTGGTCATAGAATGAGTAAACATGTTGATGGTCACAATAGTGACCGGTGGGATAACGGTGAACTTAGGTTTACAATATAAATCCAATTGCAGTTGCTAGTGAAAATTACACTAAAACGTTGCAATGACAAAATATTGCATTAAAAATTCAAATGTTACAAAAAATGTGCAGTATTGATGTTGTAATACTGGTAGCACTAATATAAAAATGTGATGTTATATTTTACAAAAAAGTAACTTAATTTATATTTTACAAAATAAGTTTTGAAATGCGTTGATGTTTTTTTTTTCCTATCAATGTTGCATAAGGTTTTTTAATGCATAATAATAACCCTAGAATGTGATCAAACTGTTTAAAATAGCTGGGCTAAGATATATAACAATTTTTATGACTGCAGAAATATGTTAATTCAGTACTCACATTATCCCACCGGTCACAATTGTGACCGACCACACAATTTTTACACACTTTTCCAAAAAAACAAACAAGCTAATAATTGATTATTTCAAAGGGTTACTAATGACAGATCATTTGGATATTTTCATGTCTGGGAAAAAAATTGGGATTAAACGGGTTAATTAAAAATGTTAGTTAATTTAAATAATACTAAACTGACCCAATTTGCGTTGAATCTTGTATAACTTCAAAAAATTAAGTCTAAATTTAAATTGTTTTGGTTTAAATTATTTTGACAATTAAAAGCTAAACCATTGTTTTTTCATGCTCTGGTCAATAATAAGATTTTTTCAGACTAGTGGAAAGAAAACATCCAAAATACACTTGTTTATTTTATTGCACTTTATTTGCATCTGTAATATCAGTTCCAATCCATATTTGAAAAGTTTTTTCTCCACTTCAGCAGCACTGACTAACACCAAAACTTAGAGTTTTATTCCTCTCTATATTCTGTAGGTTTTTACTGAGGGGTTTGTTCATATATCCTTTTCACTGATTTATACAACATTTTATTTTTAAAAACATGGCGAAAATGCAAAATTTGAAAGGCTCTTGAGTTTTTTCTACACTTCAGCAGCACTTACAAATACCAACACTTAGAGTTTTATTCCTATCTATATTCTGAAGGTTTTTACTGAGGGGTTTGTTGATATATCATTCACATTGATTTATATAGCATTTTATTCCTAAAAACATGTCAGAAATGTGTTTTTTTCTGTCTGTTGACAGTATTTTCTGATTTATGGAGTGATAAAAACAGAAATCCAAAATCCCCTCAGTAAAAGCCTTTAACTCTAATCTAGTGGTGTGAAAAAGTGTTGGCCCCCTTCCTGATTTCTTATTTTTTTGCATGATTGTCACACTTTAATTTTTCAGATCATCAAACAAATTTAAATATTACACAAAGATAATGCAAGTAAATACAAAATGCAGTTTTTAAATGATGATTTCATTTATTAAGGGAAAAAAGCTGTCCAAACCTACGTGGCCCTATGTGAAAAATTAATTGCCCCCTCCTGTTAAATCATGAAAGAACTGCAATTAAGCACATTATTTTAGAAAGCTGAGTTAAATTTCACTAGCCACACGCAGGCCTGATTACTGCCAGACCTGTTGAATCAAGAAATCACTTAAATAGAACCTGTCTGACAAAGTGAAGCATGCTTAAAGAGCAACACATCATGCCGCGAGCTAAAGAAATTCAAGAACAGATGAGAATCAAAACAGTTGACATGTATCAGTCTGGAAAAGATTATAAAGCCATTTCTAAGGCTTTGGGACTCCAGCGAACCACGGTCAGAGCCATTATCCACAAATGGAGAAAACTTGGAACAATGGTGAACCTTCCCAAAATTACTCCAAGAGCACAACGACTCATCCAAGAGGTCATAAAAGAACCCAGAACAACATCTGAAGAACTGCAGTTCTCACTCGCCTCAATTAAGGTCAGTGTTCATGAATAAGAAAGAGACTGGGCAAAAACGGCATCCATGGGAGAGTTCCAAGGCAAAAGTTTATCACAAACCAGTTATCACAAACACTTGATTGCAGTTGTTGCTGCAAAGCGTGGCACAACCAGTTATTAGATTTAGGGGGCAATTACTTTTTCACGTAGTGCCAGGCAGGTTTGGACAGCTTTTTTCCCTTAATAAAAGAAATCATTTAAAAACTGCATTTTGTATTTACTTGCATTATCTTTGTGTAATATTAAAATTAGTTTGATGATCTGAATCTTTTAAGTGTGACAAATATGCAAAAAATTTTAAAAACAGGAAGGGGGCCAACACTTTTTCACACCACTGTATATCAACAAAATCAGACAAGAATTTTGAACCAATGTTCAGATTTCTGTTCTGGAGATTAAAAAAAATGTCTTACAAAACAGTTGTCTTAATGTACTGTGATTAATCAACGGGGGAAGTCAAATTTTTACCCTGTTCACCTCTAGTGTCTTGCCTTGAAGCAATTTAAAAACATACTGATCAGATCATGTTTTACAGTGTACACTTTAATGTGTTTTGTACACAAAGACAAAAGTCGATCAGAATGTATTTTAGCTTTAGGATTTTGTGCACAAAATGATGTGCTGGCTTGGATTTGTGTTGAAGAAATGCAGCCGCTTCAGTCGATCTGTGTTTGTCAGGCGTTAAAGTGCACCTGCGTTTTGTCATGAAATTCATGTGACACCTGATTCATTCAGTGCATTAAATTAGTCAAGATGCACAAACACACAGTCAGTCTTCGTGTGTAGTTTTCTGGGTTTAGGACTAAAACTAAAATAGTGCTGCTGATACTCGAGGCATAAAGATGAAACACAAGCACACTCAAAAACAGCTGAGTAACTGCAGGTGCTTTTCCATGTTTATGGCTTTCAAACGCAGGATTATTTTTGCCTGTGTGTCTGAGAGAGAATAAATTTCCCTCCAGCTGAATTCCACATCAACACTGTTGTGGAGAGAAAGCGCTGGAGATGGAGGGATGGATAAGAGAGAGAGACGCGTCGCCGCAGGCCGTCTTTCACTGGTTTCTGAGCTTGAATCGCTTCTGCTTATGTAAGTTGTTTTCATACGGGCCTGTTGGTGAACAATGAAAAAACAACGTATGAAAGTGTGAAGCTCTCCACAGCTCACATACAGGACGTGTGTGAACACTAGCCAGTGTGATGACACATTTACACAGTTATTAACATCATAAATCTACCAAAGTTTTTTATATTTTCGTTTTTTAAAAGAGTCATATACTAAATGTAAGTTTCTTTATTGGCATCTATATCATTCCATAAAGAACCTTTGCGTTCATGGACAGTGTTGGGGGTAAAGCATTGCAAGTTATGTAATCAGAATACTTTTTTCAAGTAACTAGTAAAGTAACTCATTCTACATTTACAATGAAATATCAGTTATTTTTTCAAATGAGTAACGTCAGTTTCTTTGTTTTCTCATGTATTGACTGACAGCTCTCCGGTCCTCATGTTGAGAGAAATCAAGAGACAGAGGATCTTCCTTCAGCACCTTCAGTGTATATATATATATACACATACACACACACACACACACACACATATATATATATATACACACACACATATACCGTATATATATATACACACACACACACTCACAAATACAGTATATATATATATATACACACACACATATACCGTATATATATATACACACACACACACTCACAAATACAGTATATATATATATATACACACACACATATACCGTATATATATATACACACACACACACTCACAAATACAGTATATATATATATATACACACACACATATACCGTATATATATATACACACACACACACTCACAAATACAGTATATATATATATATACACACACACATATACCGTATATATATATACACACACACACACTCACAAATACAGTATATATATATATATACACACACACATATACCGTATATATATATACACACACACACACTCACAAATACAGTATATATATATATATACACACACACATATACCGTATATATATATACACACACACACACTCACAAATACAGTATATATATATATATACACACACACATACACATACACACACACACACACACACACATACACATATATATATATACACACACACATATACAATATATATATATATACACATACATAACACATATACAGTATATATATACACACACACACACACATATACAGTATATATATATACGTTTTCTGCTTCGCTTCAGTCTCGTTCAAATCTCTTTCCCTGCAGTCAACGAAAACACATTCATTCCGTTCAGTTCAGTCGCACAGATAACCGAAATGTTTCCCATTATGTTATGCATGTGTTACTTCTCTAAATGTTTCTTTTTAAATGTTTTAAAAATGTAAAGGGAACATTCCGTTTGATCATTTTTGCAGATATTGTGAGAATGTTACTTTTGAATGTTTTCGGAACGCTCTGAAACAAGTAGTAACATTTAAAATATATTAGGCAAAAATCCAACTCGAGCGTTTTTGGAAAATGAATGTTTTTGTGCTAACATTCTGAGAACATTATTAAAGACTAGATAACTCTGAACAAACGTTCTACAAATGGTTAGAACTTTAAGAGAACCTTGCCAGAACATTTCCTGTTAAAATATGAATAAAAAGAGAAAGTTTATGCTTAAAATGAGAACAAATATCTGCCGTTGTGCTCAGAAAATCCACTAGTTTTCCCTTTGTCTGACGTGTATTTTCCTAAGAATGTGTGCTGGAATACAAGAGGATGAAAATCAGTCTGTGCACAATATTCCAAGTCTTATTACATTCAATATTACATTTTCTGTTTTCATTTTTATTTGAGTTAAAGTGTTTTTTGTTTTGTTATTTTTTATTAGTTATTGTTCTTTGATAACTATTTTTTTTAATTTTATGTCCGTTTTATTTTTAGTTATTTTAATGCATCAGCTTTATCTAAACAAAAATTAGAAATATTGTCCTGGCAACTAGCTCAAATAAATATTGTACTTTATTTTCAGGGTTTTTTTATGTTTAGTTGGAGTTGAATAACGCTGTTCTGAAGTCCCGTGATGGCTTGCATGAGAAACAGACTGAAGTTTAAATCTCTCTCTCTCTCATTCATGTTCAAACACTGAAAGATTTCCCCCAGAGGAACCTCTACGCCAGTTTTTATATCGATTATTTCAAGCGCTGCGGTTTGTCTTATGACTGATTTTAACAGCCTCTGGAGGAAATGGTCCTGATGCGGTTTCCATGGCGACGGGCCGTTTGTTTTCAGCAAATAACGATTTAAATTTCAGATTGTTATTCACATAAAGCATTCAATGAAGGTTGAGTTATTGTGGCTACCGATATGTTTTTATTGTGCGTACTGTATATTAGGCTCAGTATAATAAAAGAATAACATTATTAGCTATTATCAAAATGTCATTTCTGCTCGATACAATGGATTTTTTCCTCAGTATTTTTCTGTCTCTTGTCAACGACTTACTTTGGCTTTATGAGTGAGTGTGTGTGTGTGTGTGTGTGTGTGTGTGTGTGTGTCTGAAGGCTTCTCCATTAGCTGAGCTGTACAGACTCGCCGGTGTGTGTTGACCTCTGTTATTAGCTGTGCATTAGATTGGAAGACAGGCAAAGAAATCTGAGCCGGCCTCACACACACACACACACACACACACACTCACACACACACACTCTCTCTCTCACACACACACACACACACACACTCTCTCTCTCACACACACACACACACACACACACACACACACACTCACACACAC